TGTGTTTGTTACTCTCTTGTAACATCTCTAATCTTCGGCACTTATTTGACCTTATTGTGTTGCAAGCGCCATAAAACTCTTAAGAAAAACTTTCTTCTTTGGTAACTTTTTCTACTGTGATGATCTTCTGTAGTAACTTTTTCTCCCTAAGATTGTCTGTGGTGACTTTTTCACCTGCGATGACTTTTTCTCCTGTTATGCTCTTCTGTGGTTACTTTTACTCCTATGTAACCCCCCGGGGCAGTGCCACTGACTGAAGTGTCTTTGGGTCATACCAAAGGGGGGACATTTCTCGTTCTAATGCGCAGTAGAATTGTAAATGGGCTGATCCAACAATGTCATGCTCATAACCGTGCCTGAACTGCTACAGGGAACTGCTGCTTTTTCTTTCCTAATCTTTACTATTGTCATTTTCCTCCACGTTTGATGTTTGTCACACTCTTGTGACCCGCTATTTCCAGGGTGCCTTGATAGTCGAAGCAGACTTTGTGCTGTTGAAGCTAGATAGGTGAGCAGAGTAAGTCTGATTCCCTGTAAGGACTTCTCTGTTGACATCCACCCCTTGGCGCTCATATGACCTTATGCAGTTGCGAGCGCCGTAAAATCTCTACGTGGGTGGTTGGTGGTGCTTCTTCTTTCCTACCACACATCTATCGTCCTTATGTCCCCTTCTTGTTTTTTATGTTTGTTACTCTCTTGTAACACCTCTAATCTTCTGGCACTCATATGACCTTATGCAGTTGCGAGCGCCGTAAAACCTCTACTAAAACTAAAACTAAACTAAAACCTCTACTAAAACAAACACACTCCTATGTAACCCCATCCCCTTCTGTGACCTGGCCCCATGTTGCCCTATTTCAGAGACAAGGAGATCTGTAGCCGACATTTGACCAACATTTGTGCCCGCCGTTTCCTGGAGCGGAGAGAGAAGAGGATGTACCGATTCATCGCTGACTTCCAGAAACTCTCCATGTCTGACGAGAAAGTGAGAAACCCGAGTGGTTTGCGGGTGCTCTGGTGTGGTCTGCTCCTTCTTTCCTATCAAACATCTATGCGTGGGTGGTTGGCGGGTGCTCTGGTGTGGTCTGCTCCTTCTTACCTATCAAACATCTGTCGTTCTTGTCTTTCCTCCCGTCTTTTTTTTATGTGTTTGTGACTGTCTTTTAACACCTCTAATCTTCGGCACTTATATGACCTAATTGTGTTGCAAGTGCCGTAAAACTCTTACTAAAATGGTACAAGAACCAGGGCCATCTGCTCTGTAGACCAGCATGATGCCAACTGAGCTAACTGAGCCCCCTGCCCGCCCCCCCCCTCCCCCTCCCCCATCTTTTTGTGTCACTTCAGTCCTAACCTGTTCTTGATGGGTGGTTTGCGGGTGCTCTGGTGTGGTTTGCTTCTTCTTTTCGATGAAACATCTGTCGTCCTTATCTCCCCTTCTTCTTTTTTATGTTTGTTACTCTCTTGTAACACCTCTAATCTTCTGGCGCTCATGTGACCTTATGCAGTTGCGAGTGCCGTGAAACTTCTACTAAAACAACAAGTCCTAACCTCTTCTTGGTGGTGCAGTATGGTCAGTGTGTTGAGCTTTTTTCTGTCCCCTTTATATATATATATAAATGTGAAGTAGCGTGGTGGAATCGGGCTTTCGTCAAAATAATCAAAGTGAAGAAACTTGCATTTTTCCGCAGGTTTGTGAATTTTTATCAAATTTTTATTTTTTGGCTCGACACCTTTCATGCCCATTAAAGAACTCATTTCTGTGTGGAATTTTCTGAAAAACGTTGAATAAAGGCACAAAAAATGTAAATTTTCAGTTACCACGGACTCTTAAGCTAAGGAAATAACTAATCTTTGGCGGCCATTTTCTCACTAATTTTACCTCTGAAAACAGGTGACCCCCACCTCCTTTTTTCGCAAATATCTCGACTTGTATTCAAGATAAATGGATATTTTTTTCATCCAAATAAAGACAAGTGAATAAGCTTTAGGATGATACCAATAACTCTACATGCCCAAAAATTGACGAGGGCCTGATTCCACCACGCTGCCTCACAAATGTTACTTTCCTCTTTGTCTGTTCTTCTTGCAAAGTCTCTTATAATAGGTAGCATAAACACTGCCTCGCGGGCACTCGCAGCCTTCCGACCGCGTGGTATCAGTAAAATCGGGGTAATTCCGATCGCTGTTTCTTTGCTCTTTCGCTGTAAAACACCAAATGCCGTACACCTTGTAAAAGTTCAGCTTTTCCTCGTTACAATGGTGTAAGTTGTTTATATGTCCGATTATTAGGAGCTGGAGAATCGCCGACGAAAGCGAAGCCCCTCGCGGTCGGAATACGAGGTCGGCCGGTTGAAAAATTGACACGCGTGCATTCAAATGCTTCGCGGAACGAGGGATGATTAAATACCGTCATATCATTGGCAGAAAACTACAGAGCTTTAAACGGGCTTTCCCGTGATATAAGTTAAGCCTTTGGCGTCTTTATAGAAAGCTTTAAAAATACGGTCAAAATGTTTAAAGATCCCTTTTTACACAAAATAATGTATAATACCGACTTATAACAGGTATCAATTAAAAGATCAGTTCATTTTCTATTAGAATAAAGTAATTAACTTGGAATTATTTTTCATCAATCCTTCCGCGAGACTCGGAAAGCATGTGATCCCGCATGCGGGGTACACTACAGTATAGAGCCGACTCGCTCGCTGCGGGGGCCGGTGCGCGCCGCCGGGTCAACGCTCGGTGTTTTTGTCGAAATAACGACAGATCATCGTGTTTGAGGCGATAAAATACTGATTTGTAAAAATTTGTCATAGTGATTGTACTCTGTTAATGTGGAGATGTTTAGTGCACTTGGTACTTTTTTTATTGTCTGTCAAACATGGGGTTGCAGCCAGTGACTGACTTTAACAAATTTGATCAAATTTTAAACAACTTCAATTTTCTTAAAAATTGACGGAGAGGTTAAAGAATGGTACTAAAATGCTCAGTGGATATAGGCCTTTCGAATGGAACAGATAAATTTGGCATACAGCTAGTTTGAAAATTTAGTTTCTGGTACCTACTTATAATTGTGTTAAGTTTGTGGGTGGTTGGCAGGTGCTCTGGTGTGGTTTGCTTATTCTTTCCTATCAAACATCTATCGTCTTTATCTCCCCTCCTTCTCTTTTGCGTTTGTTTCTCTCTTGTAACACCTCTAATCTTCTGCCTTCTTTCTTATCTTTACTTTACTTTTACTTTTCTCTTTCCTATCAAATATTATATTGGTCTTATCGCTCATGCTTTTTTTTTTTGTCTGTTACTCTCAAGTAAGTAACGCCTCTAATTATTTTTTGCTCTTATGTGATCTAATCGTGTTGCATGTGCCTAACAACTCTCACTAAAACTAAAACTAAAACTTCTTTTCTTTTTGCGTTACTTTCATAATACAACTCTTATAATTATAATCTTTGGCTCTTATTTATGACCTAATTGTGTTTCAAGTGCTGCAAAAATCTAACAAAAAACTTTCAGATACGGTGGTTGGCAGGTGCTCTGATGTGGTTTTCTTCTCTTTTCCTATCATCCATCTATCGTCCTCATCTCCCCTTCTTCTTTTTTATGTTTGTTACTCTCTTGTAACACTTCTAATCTTCTGGCGCTCCTCTGACCTTATGCAGTTGCGAGCGCCGCAAAAGCTCTAATAAAACTAAAAAACTAAAGCTTCTCTTCATTGTGCGTTACTTTCATATAACACCTATAGTCCTTGGCTCTTATTTACGACCTTATTGTGTTGCAAGTGCTGCAAAAATCTTACTGAAAACCTTCAAAAGGACTGTGTTGAGTGTAGCATGGTGACCTCTCCACTGACCTTGATCTGACCTCTGACCTCAGATTGACCTCGTGGAACAGTTTCTGCAGCTTCTCTACCAGGAGATGAGCACGGATGTTTTGTGGAAAGGTTGGTGCTGTGTGTGTGTGTGTGTTTGAGAGTGGTGTGTGAGGGGGGGTGTGTGTGTTTGTGCGTGTGTGTGTGTGTTTGTGCGTGTGTTGGTTTTGTGGAGGGGGGTTGTGTGTGTGTTTGTGCGTGAGTGATTGTGTGTGTGTTTGAGTGAGTGTGTGTGTGT